TTATTTCAAGTAACGAAAATGTTTTTAAGGTTTTAATTTTAGTTTCAGTTTAAGTCAGTTTAAGTTAACTTTAATACATAATAATATTACATAATATATTACCATGCTTTTATCTATCGTTGCAGTTTTAACTAGTCTTCTATACAACCCTTATTATTTCATTGTTTTTTAAATCATCATTACAAAAATAATTTTTAACAGTTAAATTTATTTGTAACAGTTTTCCTTTCTATTCTCAGAACGATATAACAATCTAGGCAGTAACAATAAAGAAATATAAAAACCCATAAAAGCGGCTAAACACCACAACAAGCTTAACTGAATAGCAGTACAGAAGTTTTAACTCTGCAGTCTTATTATACATTAAAAAAGAACTGGTAGCCAGCAAAATTAAGAGTTTATTGTCTTAAACTTTTCAGACATAAAGGTAACACACAATTACATTTGAACATGTCTTGTTTTCATGCTTGCTCACTTTTCTAACATTTCATCAAAGGGAGTAGATCGTGCAACTGCGTGCTGTATTGATATGAGTGCCAGATGCACTAATCGATCTTGGTCCATTGTAGATCGCAGATACTTTTTTATAAGTTTCAGTTTACTGAATGACCTCTCTGCAGAGGCCACTGTGACAGGCATGGTAAGGAACACTCTTAATGCAACAACCAAATTCGGGAATAATGATTCAAGGTTTCTCTGAAGAATGAAGTTACGTTTTTAAATTGTGGTTTTGCACGCACATAGAAGGCCGCTTACACGACAGACGTCTTGAATTAGGTCGTTCGACACATACTGTGATGTTGCTGCATAGCACCTTGCGGATTCTTCTAAATCCTCCTTTGACATTTCACTCATTTGCAAAATGAAACGAAATTTATCGGAAATCTGCCCCAGATTTTCAAATCTGGTGTTGAGTTCACTGCTTATGGTGTCAGCGATTACATAAAACACTGTTTGTTTGAAATGAATTTGGGCCTCCTGGTGCCCTGGTTTTAACAGCGCTCACTTCATCGTAAAATGTTTTGCGCTTTCTGTTGCACTTCTGTGCAAACTCTGTAGAGGCATCACATTCATTCGCTAAAAGACTGTCTGTCTGTCACAGCCTTTTCAAACCCATCCTCTCTGTACTGGGAAAATAACATTTTCAGGTTGTCAATCAACAAAACAGCTGTATCCAGTGAAATGTCAGCAGATTGCATGGCTGTATTGGTGCATGTGATTTCGGGCAACATGCCATTCCAGATAAAAAGACAAGCCATAAATTCTATAGTCTGAATTTCATTAGACAGTGCATGTGCCTCTGAAGAAATTTTGCCATCTTTAGGCATCGAGTATGCCACCGAGCTGATACCTCTGAGCTTTGACCGAGTCCAGTTTTGCCTCCCATCTCGTATCACTGAGGGGTTTTAATGTTATGTCCACAAACTGTTTCAGAATGTCCCAGCGTTTCACTGAAGATGCAAACATAGTGTACAGTCTTTGAACAGTTCTGAAAAATTCAATCATGCTCTGTTTGATGAGGTAGCATCGCACAATAGCAAATTAAGGCTGTAACTCGCACACGGCATAAACAATGCATCTGGATTTTTTTCCAGAATTAAAGCTTGTACTCTTCTGTGAATTCCTCTCATATTTGATCCGTTATCATAACTTTGACTGCGACAATTCAATAGGTCAATCCCTAGGTTTTCCAATGTGGCAGTTAAAGTCTCCCCAAGTTCTTGACCTGTTGTGTCAGTAACTGAGCTGAATCCCACAAACGATTCCTCTATCTTATAGATATAGATATGTCGGGCGTGCAGTCAAATTCAGCTGCATAATATTTCACAGCTCTCACTTGTTTGCTGATTACTGACAGGATCACTATCGTCAAAGATGACTTAGAATTAGCATACAGTTTGGATTGGCAGTATGGTTCTGTTCTGGGCAAGAACTCCCTGCGCATCCATGCAGCCTAGCATGGATGAGAGAAGGGAGAGCAGCGATAACCCCCCAGGGTAATTAGAACAGAACCAACATAAATGTATTGCAGATATAATTTATGTTCAATAATTTAATGTAAACATTTTAGAAAATTAGTCTGATTCAAAGGGGAATCAGAAGGCCGAATCCTGACTGGACTAGAGGAGGAGTTGGGGATGGAGGAGGGTAATTAGCTACTGAGCAACGCAAAAGCTGCTGATAATACTGAAGGACCTAATATGTGGGTGCTGTGATAGATGTTGCATCCCTATAGGTAGATGTGGATTAGCTGAGTCAGCTGATGCAAGCTTGACTAACGTGTCCTGCCAGAACTAACGCTACACTCGATTTTATCTAACACACAATCTGCGATGCATTTAAAAAAAAAATCATTTTGTGTACACCAACTTAAATATGAAGTACACTTTTTTTCTGTCTATATTTTTTGATGTGCTGAGCCATGACAGTGTCATAACGGGCTAAAAGCTCAATTAATCCAAGAACGTTTCCATTTGGAATCAGGGCATTTTTACCTCGTAAAAGTAAGTTCCTCTCTGCCAGAAACAAAATGCAGTCCAGCACCCTGGTCACCACTTGCTTCCAACTCGCCCTTTCTTCTTCCATCGCAGCTTTTAGTTGATTGTCAATGCATTTACCTAGTCTTAACCTAGTTTCAAGTTCTTTCCATACTAAGCATCAGTGTGGTTGGGTCCTGTTTTGTGTTGCTTTAATCTACTTGACAGACATCGCCAGTTACTGTATCCTTTCACGAAGCAGCTGTTGTGTGTTTTTTCTCCACCGAAAACATTGCACGCAAAGCAGTATACTTTGTTTGCTTTATGGGAAAACATCAATCGGTCCCGTTCCACTTGTACCCCATTTGTTAATCTTCTATAGCAGTAGGCTTTTGAAAAACATTTATTACTGTCCTGTGATCTTGGGAATGGACCATCTGGGAATTTCGGAGGACCATTCTCGGTCAGCATCATACGAAATGAATTAGTGACTTTATCTGGGCAAGGCCAGTTTAAGGGGTCATGATCAAGCAGCATTTACATTGTCTGTTTTACTCAGTTGTTCCACGCTATCATCAGTGACACTGGGCTTGCTGGTGGACTGTCCTGCTTCACTCTCACTGACAGTTGCTTGTTTATTAGCGCCATCAATGTGAAATGTTGCGGCCTTAAAGGGATAGTTCACCCAAAAATGAAAATTTGATGTTTATCTGAATACCCCCAGGGCATCCAAGATGTAGGTGACTTTGTTTCTTCAGTAGAACACAAACTAAGATTTTTAACTCATACCGTTGCAGTCTGTCAGTCTTATAATGGAAGTGAATTGGAATCACGGCTTTGAGAGTCAAAAAAACATACACAAACAAAACCAAATTAAACCCTGCGGCTCGTGACGATACATTGATGTGTAAAGACACTAAACAATCAGTCTGTGCAAGAAACTGAGCAGTATTTATATCGGTTTTTACCTCTGATGCACTGCAATGTCTGAACTGTCCTGAGCACGTCCTGAGCGCATGCGTCCTCGACAGCCGGCGCGTGACGTGTCTTCTTCTTGCTTTACGGCGGATCGCCAATGAGAATATTTATTTAAAAGTTCTGTTCTGTTTGTACTATCTACAATCTCAATTATAGGAGTGTCAATGGTCCATTTGAGAGATAGGTGGTAGTAATGCACTTATAAGTCTGCGATCCGCCGTAAAGCAAGAAGAAGAAGATGCGTCACGCGCCGGCTGTCGAGGACATGCTCAGGACAGTTAATTTCAGTTCATCAGAGGTAAAAAATTATATAAATACTGTTCAGTTCGTTTCGTGTCTTTACACATCAATATATCGTCACGAGCCGCAGGGTTTAATTTGGTTTTGTTTGTGTATGTTTTTTTGACTCTCAAAGCCGTGATTCCCATTCACTTCCATTATAAGACTGACAGACTGCAACGGTTTGAGTTAAAAATCTTTGTTTGTGTTCTACTCAAGAAACAAAGTCACCTACATCTTCGATGCCCTGGGGTTCGTCTGAAATTTTTGCATGTTCAAAAATAAATATGACCTCATGTTGTGTCAATCACGTTTGCACACTGCCTCCGAAACTTTCGTCTGTCATAAAAAAATTTGGATCAGGTTCGATTTTATGCGTTTTCACATCCGTAGTATGCATTTTGATAGGAAAGGATAATGAATACGAAAAAAATTGAAAAACGCATGCCAAAATTTCGGACTCAGTGTGCAATGATCTTTACCCTCGCTAACCTGTAGTCCTGTCTCTCTGAGGTTTTTAATTAACAATTTTATACAATATTATTAGTTAACGTGTTCTTGTATATAAAAAAAAAAACATTTTTAATTATTAATAAAAAATTATCAACCAAAGTGGTGATTTGGGGCCCCCCTAGCGTCCTGGGCCCATATGCCCAGCATATTCTGCATCCCCTTTAATGGCACCCCTGGGGTTGGGACAGGTTTAGTGGTATGGTTATGTTTACGGGTGCGTTAAGGAGTAAGGGACGAGTCAACAGTGTTCTTCCGGAAATCAGATGTACTTACAGAAATTAATTACAGCTGTAACTGATTGCATGTATTGTTAAATATAAGTACAATGTAAATATCATATGTCTGCACAGTAGGTTAAATTATAAATTTGAATTTTAGAATATTGTAATTGATGACACTTAACAAAAAGTGGGTCCCAGTATTTTAACAGTACTTTTGCAAACTTCATGACAGTTGCTTTCAGCAACATCAGCGGTGATCCCTGCTACAACTATGAGTCTCTGGATCGTCCCTGGAGAGCCAACAATGAAAGTGGAGACTGGATTTGTGATGAATATTTCTCCTGGAATGGCTGGTACCGGCTTTTCTACTATGGAATGAACATCCAGATGCCAGAGACCTGTGTGGATTCATACAGCTGTAACACAATCTATAATCTGTGGCTCAATGGTCCTCACCCTCAGATAGAGGATGAAGAGGTGATCAGAGAGGTCTGTGTAGGGTCTTATTGGGGCATCTGCTGTGAATACAAGACAAACCCCATCAGAGTGAAAGCGTGTCCAGGCAATTACTATGTCTATGAACTTGTGAATCCACAACTCGGGTGTTCAGGATACTGCACAGGTACTGTGCTTTTTTCCCCACAAGTCTTTTAAACATTTTAGAATGATTTCAGTAATGACAGTACACATGGTTTAACTTTCTCATAATAATTTCTATGAATTACTGGTTTGACCTCACAAAGTTTTGATCTCATAATTTCTCAATAACACAGACTATGACCCGTGCAATAACTACAACATACTTGACAACTACTGGAGAAGCACATTCAATTACTGGTCTATGTATGGATACATCTCTGATCAAGATGACACTCGTGTAGAATGGGATGGCTGGTATCGACTCTTTATTAATGAGTCGAGTGCTCAGATGCCTGAGTCGTGTTTTTATTATATGTCATGTGGAAGTTTTAGTTCTCTGTGGCTTGGTGCCTCTCATCCTCGGCTAGAAGATGGAGTTGTTACCCGTGAAGTTTTTGGTTCTCGTGATTATCAGTGCAGTCGCTACAGATCTGAACCAATCCAAGTGAAAGCTTGTCCTGGAGATTATTATGTCTACAAATTTATCAGGCCAAGTCTTTCAATCCCATTTTGTGAATCCACAATTCTGATGTTCAGGATACTGCACAGGTACAGTGCTTTTTCTCATTTTTTAAACAAAGTCTTTCAAAACTTTTAAAATTACTTCAATCGTGTCTTGAATGTCCTTTTCAGATGTCAACACCATTTCATGGCCGGTTTCCACTGTCAGTCCAGATATAATCACTGGATCCAGCATCACCTTGAGTAAGTTACATTTGAATTGATTCATATACCCCCCACCCCCCTAGTCTCTCTCTTTCTCTATTTTTTTTTTGCAGTGAAACTGAAATCTCATGTTTGTGTTAATACGTTTGATTAGTTCAGATCTGCACTTGTGAAGTTGCTCATTGAAATACTATATGACTGGTCTGTTTTGGTCTTCCACTAACAGATTATGACCCGTGCAATAACTACAACATACTAGACAACTACTGGAGAAGCACATTCAATTACTGGTCTATGTATGGATACATCTCTGATCATGATGACACTCGTGAAGAATGGGATGGCTGGTATCGACTCTTTATTAATGAGTCGAGTGCTCAGATGCCTGAGTGGTGTATATCCTTCATGTCATGTGGAGGTTTTAGTTCTCTGTATCTTGGTGGCTCTCATCCTCGTCTAGAAGATGGAGTTGTTACTCGTGAAATTTATGGCTCTCACCATGCTCAGTGCAATTACTACAGATCTGAACCAATCCAAGTCAAAGCTTGTCCTGGAGATTATTATGTCTACAAATTTACCAGACCAACAATTTCGATCCCAGCTCCTGTATATTGTGCAGGTACATTCATTCATCTTTTCATTTGCCATGTTTATCACAAATTGGATTGGTTTGTATTCATATTATTATACTGAATAGATATAATATGCATCTGTTCTCTTTCTACTTTTTTGTCCCATAGTACCTTTCAGCACCCCAAGTGTAGACCCCTGCTACAGTTACACCAGTCTGGATGAGCTTTGGAGAGCCACTGACAATCCTTACTATAATAACTATTACTACTATGGCTTGTGTGATTATAATGTGGAGTGGAATGGCTGGTACAGGCTGTTCTACAATGGTCAAAATGCTCAGATGCCAGAATCATGTGTTAATTATGGCATGTGTGGCTCTTATGAGCCACTGTGGCTCAACGGCCCTCATCCACAGCTGGAAGATGGAGTGGTCACCCGTCAGGTCTGTGCTTCCACATGGAGTGACTGCTGTGGATACACATCCCACCCTGTACGAGTCAAAGCATGTCCAGGAAATTACTATGTTTATGAGTTTGTCAAGCCACTGTTTTGTGGAGATTACTGTGTAGGTGAGTATTTGCTCATATGTATTTAAGTCATTTAGTCTTTTCTGGGCTTTGCTTAATAATAACTGATGTTGATATAAAAAAAACGTTCTTAACACCAGAAGCCATACGTCAGACCATCCCATCAGTGTCTACATCAACACAGACAATTCCACCCATAGAATCCATAACTTCACCAATCACAACCTCTGGTAAAGTATTATCTTGTTTCCTTTTAAACCCTCATGAATATCTTTGTGCATGCATCCCCCCGCCACCCATTACACAAAAGTGCAGTAAATTCATAGCTAAATAAACTTCAGAAATGAATAAATGATGTTCTGTCAGGGCCATATTTACACATAGGCATTCTAGGCACGTGCTTATGTTTGCTTGTCCAGGGGGGCCCAAACACAATAAAGAGATATATATTATTTTTTGTTATAGCCTACTATGGGCTATCTACAACAGTAAAAGAACCAAAACCCAGAAGACATTGAGCAAATAAATATAACAAGTAATAGGGTAAAAAATGACAACCGTTTCCATGTTTTCCACCTTTTTATGTATGGAAATCATGCTTTCTTTCCCCTGTTCTCTCTCACAGACGCACACACAGTACAGACACGCTCTCGCATACACACACACACACACACACACACACACACACATTGTAAGCGCTGCGCGAATTTATCAGTAAAATAGTTTTACAGCTGAAAAGCTACATGATATTTCTCTGTATCGCTTATTGCGATAGAAAACAAACGGTTTCCACTGATTACGAAATAGTTTTGTTTGCTGGGGTGGTAATATTATGTATTAGCTAATAGTGTTCTAGAGCAGGGGTTTTCAAACTTTTTGGAGCCAGGGACCCCTTACAGGGGAAAGGATTTTCTAAGGACTCCCTCATAATTATAACAGTGTTTAAGGCTAAAGTTTAACGTGGGTAGGAGGAATGAACATTATATTAATGTTTTATTGGTGCAAATGGTCCCCATTGTATATGTACTTTTTAATACTACAGCATAATATAATTACATTTACAATATTTTCCGGAAAGTTGCACCAGGTCAGGGGGGAAAAGAACAGAACAAAACATATGTTGCATCGCTGTAAGTCGCATTTTATTATTACTTTCAGAAATCATTTAAATACTGAATATTTCTAAATAAAATGAATGTTAGGGGAAAAAAACATTATAAACACTAACATTAATTTTAATTCCCCTCACTCCAAATAATTTAAATTTTGTGGCATTCATAACAGAACTAAAATAAATGAATATATATGTATATAAAAAAATTAATTATAGTGCCGATCATTACAAACAACATGTATTTTAAATGGCATAGGCGCCGATCCCGCGGGTGCTCGTGAAAAACACAAGATAGTCTTCGTACATTTTAACCAATAAGAAATGGATTGCAGGTTTTACAACTTTATTCTCGTATTTATAGTTCATTTGAGTTAGTTTCTTTAGTGAAGCGCAACCCTCATAGAAAGAATGTGTGTATTATTTGGTTGGTAACTGCATGCATTTCACTTCGCAAGATACATTTTGTGACGTGAATTCATCAAACGCACCATCGAACGGAGTATAGCCTACTCTAGAAAAAACTAACACCCAGTATAATGAATTACTGAGTAATGAGAATGTTTAAATATGTTAAGCATTTGTTGCGTATGTGTAAGATAACTTAGCCCGGTTTTCATTTACTTAGCGGTGAAAATGTGTTTTATATAAAAATAAAATGCTCGTTTTTTTGCACCCACCGGCAGAAACATAAATCGGCGCCTATGGCTATGTCCATAACAAACTAAACTTACTTACTGAAACTTAACCACATAGTGGGCTCGCAAACCTCTCATTCGGCATGAATCGTTTCCATGAGTGAATCGTTCAGTCTAACATTCGGTTGCTAAACTATTAGGCTACTTATTATGTAAAGAAGGCTTTATAATTCTCTCATGTCCAAATATCAACTAACAGCATCCTTCACATATGCAAAAAAGTGTTTGGAAAAACACCACGGCATGCTCACGCTGACCGGCAAAACCTACATATTGTACAACAGACAAGTTAAATTGAGTCACCAAATACCTTTTGTAGGTTTAGTTGTCTCATTTATTTTGCTGATTATGAGGCTGTTATGTCAAGATGCAATGCTAGAACTGATTATGTTGTGTGCACGCGGGAGGCGCCAGCGCGAACACTGTGGATGCCTTATATCATCGGAAAAATATGATATCCGTCAGATAAGAGCAAGACTTCATTCAAAATGGTCTATTTTTATTTGTGTACCTTCAAAATGACAGTGAAACGTTGTGCTTTCGTAAAATAAAGAAAACCAACAAAATGCGCTTGCCGTCTTGGTCTATGTGAACCACTTCCTAAAATGAAGAAAAACTCAGCGATACTTTCTACTTGTCAAACAGACACGAGAAATATATTTAGCTATATAAACCTTGAAGTGACCGCTTTTAAGTGTTTACACTGCTTATTTGACATTAATGCATTATATAAGTCACTTTGGAATATAAATCATAGCACGTTTCAGAAGATAAAAAACGCAAGTTGCAGTCCGGAAAATACGGTAGGCCGATAGCAAATTATTTTGCGGACCCCCTGGCTTTGCGTCACGGACCCCAATTTGAAAACCCCTGGTCTAGACTACGGAGTTTCCCAACCAGTTTTGTCATATGTACTGACACGACCCCAGCAGTTAAAAATCCCAAAAACTCCTTCATGCAGCACAAAACTAGAAATGTGTTCCTTTCAGTGTTGTTAACTAAAGCTAAAATTATAAGTCCGGAAAATACGGTATAGCAAATTATTTTGCGGACCCCCTGGCTTTGCGTCGCGGACCCCAGTTTGAAAACCCCTGTTCTAGAGTTTTCATACAGATTATTTTTTATAACATTCATTCGGTCAGCAATTTTTCTAATGTGTCCATCACAACAGCTCCCCCTGTTGACCCCTGCTACAGCTACAATGTCCTGGACGATCCATGGAGATCCACCAACAATCAACATTCCTCTCAAATAATGTGTGACTCTTGGGTCAGCTGGAACGGCTGGTACCGTCTCTTCATTCAGGGTCAGAGCGTTCAGATGCCAGACACGTGTGTTGAGGAGTATAGTTGTGGCACTAATGCTCCACTCTGGCTGAACGGAGGACATCCAGCAGTTGAGGATGGAGAGGTCACTCGAGATGTCTGCGGTCACTATGACAATGACTGCTGTGCTTTTCTGTCCAATCCCATTAAAGTCAAAGCCTGTCCAGGAGATTATTATGTCTATGAGTTTGTGAGCCCAGTTGGCTGCAGTTTGGCATATTGTGCAGGTAAATATATTTACATGTGTCCTTTGTTTATGTAAGAGATCTTTTTTTTTTATGAAACATTTATTTTTCAGATGCGTGGAACATAAACAATACCTACACTACGACAGAGACAACCACAACCGCAGAAACTGTAGCTGAAACCACAATGACTGGTAATATAATGTACAGTCTGCAGTATTATTGGTTTATACGAACAGTGTTGGGCAGTAACGCATTACTTAGTAACGCGTTACTGTAATTTGATTACTTTTTTTAGTAACGGAGTAATTTAACGCATTATAATATAATCAATCAATATAATTTTCAAAATAGTAATTAGAGTATAGTTACAAGGTCTCTATACATTACTGCCGCGTTACATTGCTGACAGAATGCAGTGTTTTATAATCTAGAGATTGTAAAAAGGATGTAGCACACGCACTGTCGAGTCAAGTGCCAGTGGATTAGAGACCTGCTCCCACGAGACCCGACGCAACAGAGTGAGGCGCGGGACAAGATGGGCGAGTGCTGGTCCGCGGGCGGGTAGACACTTGTGTGTGTGCGGGATGCAGGAGAATAAAATGATTCACGGGACTCCTGCAAAATAGAAATATCGAAACATAACATATCTAAAACAAATAAATTGTTATTCATCTATTGCACAAAAGCAACATGAACTAATATAAAATATAAACGATTAACAGGTGTAAGCGTATTCAGAGTTTCTATTTAGGCTATAACACGTGTTTGCAGCGTTGAGCAATGCAGTGCTGAAATTTGCATGCTCACAAATCCTCTCATTATAACACACGAATTGTAGACATTTGTAGAAAGATTCATTATGCATATATTTATTGTGTTATAACAGAGATTTGTGAGATTGCGATGAACTGAGATGTCTTTTAGAGCATTCTGCCATGCCAAACCATGCACGCAGCAGCCAAGTAATTTGATTACATTTTCAGAGTTACTTTTTTGGTTAAAAATGATCCGAAATCAATATTTGAGCAAGTGCA